CATTTGTTTTTTTGGTCTGACCATAAACCCATATTCGTTTGAGTAGCCAACTTTTACTAATGAGGTGTGCATTTAAATATTTATGATAATTATTTATTTTGTTAATAAATTTAGGACAATGTTAATGTTCAGTAATATTTTTAAAGTTAACCACATTACGAGAAATTGATACTTAGATTCGTCATTGCATTAAGAGCTACGATAAAAAATTTTAAGAGTTATTTACGATAAATCATGATGACAGAGTTTTAGGTAGCTCCAATTGATATTGTAGGTGATAAGAATTTAACGTACATACCATAATTATCAGATAACTGGGCGTTAATATTGTGGACTAATTAGTAGTGATCGTCGATAGCATAAACATCTTCATGTAACATATTAGCTGGTAGACTTGACAGTTGGAAGAACATATTTGTTCAAATATTCGAAATTTAAAGTGAATTAAGGTATTGCATTTTGACAATAGCTAGTTTGTAGTTGACTAGCCGCCGCAGCTGAAGCAGAATGGAGTCTAGCTGATAACATAACATCTTCGCCGTTTGTCTCTCCTCCTCTTCCTGAACAATTTCGACAACACTTCTCGGGATAGCCCATCGATTTCCCGAAGAACCTTCACCTCTTTGGAGAAGAAAACTTTGTCTCAGCCTCGACAACCTTCGCCAGCGAGCTAAGCTCCGGTCCAGTTGCTGCTTCTTTCAACATTACTCAGCTTTCCAAATCTGTTCTCATGGATGCAGAGACCGTCTCGATGATTGCCACTTTGACATTCCATCTACCGAGTCATCGTGAGACGTGTGTTTCTTCCTCTCTCCTTTGGCGATTGTTATGTCCGACGCCGGCGGTAACTCCCAAGCCGCCGGAGCCTCCAGATCCGCCATTCCCTCCGGATCCATCGCATCCTTCTTAATCATCGCTTGTATCCTTGGTTTTCTCCTCTCTTGTGCATAGCGTCCAGACATGCTACATTCTTAGAATGAACCCTTGTGTCTCCTTTGCTCAACCTTGTCTTCTCCTGGATACGCTTTCAGAAGATATCCTCTGTGAGACCCCCTTTTTCGAGCTGCATTTGTTCAAAAATTACATTTCTTTACGGTTTACTTACCTCAGTATGAGGCTCAAATTACCTCGGTATGAGGCTCTTAGACTTCATGTTAGTCATCTTTTACTTCGGTATGAAGGTAATACTGGAAAACTCCTACCAATTTCTGTTCGATATATTGCTCCCCAAGTATTATTTTCTAGAGCTGAGATGGACAAAGAACTCAAAGAATTTGTTGGAAACCATCGTTATTGTCAACCATTGAATTGCTTCTCACTTATGGAGACTTCAAGATTTATTGTTGACATTAAGCTTCTTTCTTTTGGTATATTCCCTTTCTTTGATGTTTTTTGCACTAACCTTGTGGTGTATTTCAAGGTTCCCATTCACCACTTGTCTTATGTTGTATTGGATACCCACTGCGATGTCTACTCCTTTATGGAGTGTTTGGTGTTATCAAAATCCCTTTTTGAAGGATGGAAGATGTTGGAGTTAGGAGGGATTCACAATAAAATCCCCCCGGCTCATTCGTTGGCCACTTATCTCCTTGCAGCCACTACATAGCTTCAGCCTTACTTGCAGAGAAGCTTATTCTTCTAGAGGCTAGACTGGATGTGCTTTTCGGCTCCCTAAACTGTCTCTCTCTTCTCATCTCTAAAGAAGTAGCCACTGTTGCTTTTCTTTATGAGTTTAGAGGTTTAAGTAACTATGGTTTGGATGCTACTCACTGTTTCGTTGAAGCAACATGGATCACCTCTCTTGATTGTGGGCTAGGTGGGTGCTTCAAAGACTTAAACGTGAGGATACTCAAGCAAGAATCTGCATCACGTAGGCATGTGCCTTTGGCCCTGGCCGCATAAGTTTTTACTATTAAAACTGCCTTAATTGCAGTTCATATTGCAGGATTCCAAGCTCTCAACTGTTTCTCGGATTCGCTCTCTCTTGTCACGTTGCTCAACTTGGAGAGCGTGATCAATGAGCTAAAGTCTCTACTTTTCGACACTAGATGTCTTAGTACAGATTTTATTTTTATGTCTTTCGTCTTTATTGTGTTGGCTAAATCCAGTCTTGTATCGTTGAACTCCTTCTCCAACCTTGGAAGTTAAGCTAATATAATCTGTTGGTTTGATAAAAAAAAAAAGCTAGTTTGTAGTTGACAAACAAAAAAAACAAAGAGACAATAGCTGGTGATATATATGATTAGCCATTTGCTAGTCTTATGAGGCGCACATGGCCTAACAGTATGTGGTGTTTTCATGTTAGGCCACTGTTTGGGCTTTGATTATTCTATATAGACCTAAAACATGTAGACGTAAACGTAGATCAGCTTGTGTTCTGATATCTTATCATATCCGTTGTAACAAACATATATAGGTTGAATGATAAACCGAAGAACCATTTTTAAAGATTTGATTTTATAGTGAGTGTTGAGAAGTTCGTAACTACCGGATGATGTGAAATTCAATGCCGAACACCTTAATCTTAACGAATCCTGATGAGAGCCTCTAATATGGCTAGGCTTACTAACAATGAATCAATTTCTCAAATTGAGTTACAAACTCGCAAACGAGTTTTAAGTTTCTCTGTTCCACGCCTTAATTAGTATAAGTTTTAACATAAAGGCACACATTAACGTGCATTGTGACTGTGACAAACCTTATTCATGAGCTTCCGTTGCTACGTTGTTTATAGAGTGCACAAGCACACGTACGTAGCATTTACCGGAGCATGAAAGGAAATTAAACGCACACATTTGGACAATAATGTTGCCGGTAATTAATATAGCTTAACTATATCAACATGCTGCCGTAACTTATT